CCATGCATCGCTCCCCCATCAGACCAAAGAGCAAAGAGTAAAAGAAATCCAAGAAAGCACAGCTAAGGCATTTCTTAGTATCACTCATCCATCACCACAAAATAAAACCACAACTTCTTCAAGCAGGTGAAGCAGTGGGTAACTGAGTCACAGAGTGGCTCTTCCGCATTTAGAAGACCTCTGGTCAAAGCTAATGACAAGAGGATGTTTATTAGTTGAGATTATGAAGTTGCTATGCCTGAATCATTCAGACTCGAGGTGATTGATTAGAAAGAAGTCCCTCATCTGAGCTAACACGTACCCCAGCGCGCTCCAGTCCACAGGTCAGAACCTGCCAATGAAGAATCCCAGCCAAAGCAGAGCAAGTGGATTTCTTCAGTGGTATCTGCTGTCAGTCAGCTGCACAAACTCCTTCGTGGCAAAGAAAACTCACCGCCAGTGCATGCAGAGTGGTGCTTTCTGAAGGGAAAAGCTCTCTCTACCGTGAAATTCACCGTCTCTAGATCAACTTCACAACTGGAGAGAAAATCTTACTTAGAATACCAGAATGCCCAAGGAACAGGAGGAATAAATATGGTCACATCATAAATAACACCATGCTGTTGCCTCAAAACACTGCACTCAGTCTTGCTCGCTTCCCAGCAAGAAACTGAAGTTGAACCAGGAAAGCTCAAAGCCTGGCAGTGAGAAGTGGAGGATGCTGTAAGAACAGGTGTGTTTAGATGGGGAGGCTGTGCGGACATGGGAACGAGTGGCATAAAACCCAAGAAACTTCCAGCCACCTCCTCCTGACACGAGTTCCCATCCCACACAGGACTTAGAGAAACCAGACAGCAAATGCAGGCTGTTCCCATGATAATGGAACTCCTTTTTACGACAGGAGCTTTCTCTATCAGTATTAAAAGCAAATAAGATTTGCATCAGGCCTGACCCAAAGGAACGGTGATGGGGAAGAGCCCAGAGATGTGACCCTGGCCTGCAGGGCCCATAGTGCCCCTAAGCTGGAGGGCCCTCGTTCCCTCCCCCCGGTCAGGGCAGGTTTACCAATGATAAAAAAGGCTTACCACAGATTGATGGTCTGTTTGTCTCGTAAAATTAAGATGCTGTCTTTAGCATGAATACTAAATGGTGAAAAGCACTCAGAATTAAATACAGCATATAAAGCTGGGGTTTCAGATTTCCAACAGCAGCCTGCAACAATACACTTACAAATTGGGCTCACTTATTTATATGGAATTAATCAGGATTACCACTTTCATCTTTGCAATTTAACTGAAGAACTAAATCAATAGCATCCAATCAGTAAAATATTACTGTTGTTTCCACAGTGCCGAGGCGTTTTTTCTATTAAGAACTCTTTTTAAAAAAAAATTATTTAATTATTATTTTTTAAAAGATCAATATCCTCAGAGCATCAATGCAACCACTCAAGGAGCAGAGATCTGCATCAGCAACACAACCTAAGTGAGGCATCTCTCCCAGCAAACACACCACTACCCCCCTGCATCCCCAAACACAGCGTGAGGATTTGTTCTTTTTCAGGGGGTTGAACTCCCACTTCTTAATATTCATAGGAAAGCAAATAAATCCACTCTGTAACCAGCATTTAAGTTCAACACACAAGAAGCTGCAATCTTGGCCCTGCAGCTGGCTGAATTCTAATCCTGCAAGCCCGACACCAGTAACAACAGCCCCACAAGGTGAATGGAAGCAGAGTGCCTCCCTCCCACTCACTGGCACCTGGAAGCTGTGGCAGATCCTGCACAGGGAAGGAGCACTGCCAGCCATCAGCAGGAACCTCAGGTGTACCTCCTCCTTGCTGATGCAAAGTGAGCTCAAACACACTGGCTGTATTTTATGCAGGAGCTACAGATGGTGCAAAAACGTGCTTTTACTCTTCCACAGTTCCTCCGGCTGATGCTGCACAAGTTACATGCTTTCAGGGCTTTTCATCACGACAAACACAACGCACACTGCAAAAGGCATCTCCAGCTCGGGCACTCACAGCTGCAGACCAGGCACCAACACGCTACAAAGCCCTCAGCAAGGCGGCTGGAGTCACACAGCAGTTCTCACTCACAAGGCACAGGCTGCAGGGTCAGCAGCCCTTTCCCATTTGCCTATTTATACACACATGTAATCAGCAGTGTTGAGGCACTCGTATCTCAGCAGTACTAGCAACCAAACTGCTCATATCAGATGGCACGCAACAGCCAGCACACACCAGCCTGGTGTACACATGATGGGGATATCAGCTGGAGATGTGTGCTGCAGGGACGTAACTGAAACCTGCCTATCTGTGCTCAGTTTTTAGCTCGTTTAGAAATCATCAAATGCATGAAGAACAAAAAGAAATCCCAACTTTACATTCCTCAGGCACCCAGCAAACCTCTGCTTCTGTGTCATTCAGCTCCCACACACCACGGGCAGCCCTCACAGCAGCACACGTGGCACAAGGAGCTGCAGCCAACATGTTGCTGAGCACCTGTTATGCTCCAGGAGTCCAGCACACCTCTGGTTCCCACTGCTTCCAGCTGGGCACTTCCCAAACCACCAGTTTATCCCTAACAACAAGGCATGCACCGGTGCCAAGGACTTCACCAACCCCAGCGAGAGTACAAATTTCCTGCTTCTGAACAATCTCACCTGCGATCTTAATGCTGTACCCGGTTTATCACAGCTTTTCTATTAATAATTAAAATCGACACCAATTTCAGTTTTATTCTGAATGTAATCCTGTTTAGATCAAAGTTTCCACGCTTATCTCAAGTACGTTTCAAAGTAACACGAGGCAGGAGCCGATGCTCACTCCTTGCTTCTACTCTGGTTGGGCTTTATCCCCTCAGCTAAGTGAAATGCTGTCCTACCTCTGAAACAAGCAGCTCACTTCACCTCACACACAAAGCAACCAGATCGATTGTGACACAGGCTCATGTTTCCAGACACTCGAAAAAAATGCTTTAAGTTACACATTTTTCTTCCTAAAATAATTCTGCTATACTCTTTTCTTCTTCAGAGAGCAATGACTGCCTATTTATAGATGGAATCAAATGTCACTGAAACATTCACTGCTATGAAGAACGTGGCCTTCCAGACCTCCAACTTCTGCTCTTTTGTATCTTTTTATCAACCCCAGAAGGCTCAGAAACAGAACACTATTCCTTCTGGACACAAAACACTTCAGTCTCGTGATGCAGAGGCACACATCTACCTTTCATCAAGGCCAAACCACGTGGTCCTCTGCCTCGCCGTGTGCACTGATGGGCCACAACCAACAACAGGACCACCACCCCCACACCCAGAACACACTGATGGGGTGCATAGCACTGCCACCCCACATCTACCACACAAAAACAAGGGCACAGCACTGTCATGCCTAGAACACAACAATGGGAAGCGTGGGAGCAGCACCCCTGCACCCAGAACACAGCAACAGGGAGCAGAAGACCACCATGCCTAGAACACATCACTAGGAGCACAGCACCGTCATCCCCACGCCTAGAACACATCAACAGGAGCGCAGCACTGCCACCCCAGTGTCTAAATGACAACAGAGAGGACCTCTGTGCACGATGTGGAACATTTGTATCTGATTCCCTCTAACACCAGCACAGAGGGATTTGAATGCCCTTCTCCCGCTTGCCAAATATGAATGTATGTGGAACATCTCTTATTTAGGAAAAAAACCTACTACAGATCAGATGGGAGCAAGCGTGATGAAGTTCTGCTGTGCAAGAAGCATCTCACCTCCTCATAGGGACAAAGAACCAAGGCTGTCCTTCACGGACTCCACTCTCAGGGAGCAACGGACTTTCCCCTCAGAGGAAACCCTGACTCCTATCCTTGTGTGGGTGGGATGGGGCAGCACATGGCTGCAGTGCAAGAACACGCTCCACAAGATGAAGAGAGGAGGCAATGAGGTGCACTGAACTTCCAGTGCCGTCACACTGCTGCTTCCAAACTCTCGCTCTGACACACATAGCCTCAATGAATATTTTGAGTATTTCTGTGCACTGCTGGCTTAACTCATCCCTTTAGTGTTAATGGCTATGTCTTCACCTGCCCTTTTGATGGCTTCAAACCATAAAGGATGTTATTTCATGCAGCTGAGAGCACCCAACATGACTACATCGCTACAGCGAGCTGCCAGCAGAGCAGCAAACACCCAAACAGAACTGCACATGAAAACAGTAACTATTACAGAGATACAAAGATGTTTGTATCTAATCCTTGATTTCTCAAAAGGGAAAAGAAAAAAAAAAAACAGCAATCTTCAGAGGTGGAATCCGCAGAGCTCGGGCAACGGCAGAGGTTAAGTCAACGTGTTCCCCGCCACAGGATGACATCAGGAGGACCGGCTCTGCCCAGCGCGATGCCAACAGGACAGCGGCACCGCTACCTGCCGGCTCCCGGCTCCCTCCGGAAACGCCAGGACCCAACGGGGGGCCGCTTCGAAATAAAATCCAGCACTCCACACGCGAGATCCTTTTTAAGCTCCGCCGACGAGGAACGCCAAAGTTTTTTCCAAGCCGTCATTTGATTATAACGCTGCCGCAAAACTACGGCGCGGCTCCGACCCAACTCCCTTCACCAAGGCCCATCGGAGGGCCGCCCGCTACGCTCCATCCGGACGGGATGACGGCCGCCAAAGCCCAGAGAGCCGCGGCACGGCGCAGAGGGGCGCGCAGTGCGGCCGGCCCCGATCAGCGCTCAGCGCCCAGCGCCCCCCGCCGCAGGTGGCCCCGACCCCCGCCCGGCCCCAGGTGCGCCCCGCGGAGCTGCGCAGTGGCCTCCACCGGCCCCGTCCGGCTCGGACAAGTGCGGCTGGAGAACGGAGGGAAAAAAAAATAACAGTTAAAAAAAAAAATAATAACCACAAACACGCACAAAAAAAATAGATACCAAATCACAGAATGGGAAATAAAAGCAGCCCGGGGCGGGGCGCTCTGCCCCCGCCGCCCCCCACCGCCGCCCCCCGCTCCCTCCGCCGCTCCCCGTACCTGTCAGGGGGTTCCGGGGGCCGCTCCGCGCGGCGGCGGCCGAGGGCTGCGGCTGCCCGAGGAGCAGCGCCAGCCAGAGGGAGCCGAGCAGCCGCCGCGCTCGCCCCGCCGCCATCGCTCCGCGCCCCGCGCCCCGCAGCCGCGCTCCCAGCGCCGGCCCCTCCTCCCCGGGGGGCTCCTCCTGCCGCCGGCCCGCGCCTCGCTCCCCGCTCTCAGGCCCCGCGCCTCTCCGAGCGGGCGGCAGGCAGACAGGCTGCAGTAGGCTCACTCCATCGCGGGCCGGTCCGCGGTCCCAATCCCGGCGCCGCGCTCCGCGGCTCCCTCACACGGAGCAGAGGGGCCGCCCGCCCCGCCCCTCCCTTACTCCCGCCCCCGGCCCGCCCCGCCCTCCCCCTCCCGTCCGCGCATGCGCCCGCGCTGAGGCGTCACCGCCCCCCGGCCCCGCAGCCCCCCCTCAGCGCCAGGTGTGCGCGCGCCCGCCCGCCCACCACAGCGCCTGCGCGGGACGCCGTGCCGCCCCGCCCTGAATCCCCACCTTAAACCGGCACGGGCGCGTTCTCTATCTTGGAGGGCAGCCCTGCGATAGGTAGCGTTACTGGGGCGCTGCGACAGTGAAACGCTGCTCCTGGGCTGCATCTCTCCATAAAGCGGCCGTCCCGCACTAAAAACCCGCATCTTTTTGTCCAGTGTTCTGTCAGGATGTGGGTTTGTTCTCTGCTGGCGGCATCCTGGAGTGTTCCAGCCGCGGGTTGCCTCCTCCTGAGGAGGTCTGGTTGTGGCTCAGGCTGAAGAACGGGTGGGGCTGGAAGCGTCGCTGTGATGGTTAGCGGTTCCCATCGCGAAATCCCATCTTCAGTCACCATTATTAGCGCCAGACAGTTGTGCTGAGAGCACCCAAAGTTCATACCTTGGGTTATGCTTCAGAACTGCCATCGTCCCTTCTGTCAAGCCAGAGGAAAAGGTTATTTGGGCCTACAAAGCACAAGGGTCGCCTCATGAGAGACGTTTCCTCACAGCTCTGTGGAAAAACCTTCTGAGCACACTGCTGTTGCTTGTGGGGTTCACCAGTGCCATCCTGCAGCGGTTTCACGCTTGCAGAGTAGTCGCAGCCCCAGGGAGCAGAGCCAGACCTGCCGTTCCAGTTCCCCAGTTCCCCGCTGCCCTGCTCCATGCCAAGTCTGAGTGCAGCCAGGCTGAGCAGGGAACCTGTCCTTCTGGTCCTCTCCCTGCTTCCAGCAATGCGAGCAGGGAGTTCCTGCCGTGATCCCTGCTCCTGCCGTGACATGCGGTGGGACGAGAAGTGGGTCGGGGAAGTTGGCAGGCACAAAGGGCCTGGAGAAAGACAGGTTCTCCAGGGCAATGGGAAGGAGTTGGGCTGGAGAGGGGCTCTGTCTGCAGGGAGGGATGAAGCATGTGCACAAGCCTGGAACCAGCCTGCTGGGAGAAGAGTCAGAAACAGAAGAGGAGCAGGAGAAAAATGGGAATGAAGACCATCTGGAAAACTGTCACATCTACTGGCAGCAAGAGTCTGAGATGCACTGGGAGCATTCATCACCCTCTTACAGTGCTGGACTGTGTGCAGGAGAGCCAAGCTATTTTTTTCCACTTTTAGAGCAAATTTCCACATTGCTGATGGCCTACATAGATACCAGTTTAACACTGGATTACATTGCTGTGGTGTTGTTTTGTTTTGTTTTTAAGGTTGCCTCTATACGAGAGAGAAACAGACATGGCAAACTACATTAAAGCAACATTAGTTAGGCTACAAAACACTCCCAAGTTATGAAATACCAGAATAAATGTTGCCAACACAAACAGATAGGCCTGGCTCTGATGTTGAATCAATGTGAAGGAACAAAAGTAAAAGCCCAAATAACTTAATTTCCTATAAAAATTAGATGTAGGTATTTTATGTACTTTGCAGGGGACTGCAGGAAAAGCAAGCACCGTGCTGTGGCTCCGGTGGGTGCTGCTCCAGGAAAGCGCTGCAGCCTCAGGATGGTGCCCCAGATAGAGGTTTGCTATGCAATAGTTGTGCAGCCTGCAAGGCCTAGGGCCTGGTTTGGCATTCTTTTTGAAGTCTTATCTGCAGAAGTGAAGAACTCTAACAGATAGAACTGGTGGTAAATGAGAATTTATTCAACTTTGTCTAAGTTTTATTCAGCTTTGCCACGTTGTATTTTCTGACAGAATCAGGCCATGAGTATTTCTAATTGGATAGCTAAAATTAAAAGATATTTTTTACTATTCCATCTGTATGCCTAGATTCTTCATCTGTAAAACATGGGTGATACCAGTTCTTGCAACAGCGTTGAGAAAATGAATTAGAATTTGTGAAGCACTTGGATACCATAGTGATGAGCACCAAGCAGAAACCCAGGAGGAAATGAATAAATCTGTCTTCAGAACAATATTTGAATAGCGTGCAGTAAATAAAGCACGGGCCACATAGTGAACAGCAAGGAGAAAATAAAATTATTACTTAGTGAGCACAGTCTATTCTGCACAACAAGCAAGGCTGGGAACCTGTCGAAAGAACAGCGTGTGATCTAATTACAATTAAATAGTGCATCATAATGCAAATACACAAAAGGCAACAAATCACAGTTGCATAGGCCACCATAACATTGGCACTTCTTAACTCTGAAACTCTTGGATTTAAGGAGAAAAGAACATCTCTAGGCTGCAGATGTCTAATATCTACACATAAACAACTCCTTTCTTTGGTAACAGTGGAAGAAAGTTTTTTTTTACCTCACCTGCCTCAGCTAGTTCTAAACTGTAGAGTGGAAAATGTATTTCTCCTCCTGGAGATATCTAAGCCTTATAACCAAGATTTAATGCTGTCACTCAAATGTTGACACTGCGCTCGTGTGTGATCAACAGAGACAGAGAGTACTCTCCAGAGGGAGATCTGGAGGAAGACCTTAATTTCAGTGATTAAATTTCTTTCTTTTCCTTGAGGTTTTTCCTCATTTAAAGCCAAGCTCCTGTTTTTTGGTGCAGAAATAAGGTTACAGAACAAAGACGGTTTCTCTGACCTTTTGTGACTCCCTGAGGCTAGCACTGAACCTTTCTGACTCCCGGTGAGATCTGGAAGCACTCTCAAGCTGCTGTGAGTTGCACTGTGCTGGCTGTTACCAACAAGAAGAGCAATAAAATTAAAATTCAGTGGTTCGACTGCACTCTACATTACGTCCGCCTCTCTGGACATAATCTCTCTATTGCTACGCAGGACTTGAGTTAGCACAGAATTGTAATCCTGATTAAGAGAATTTCCCATTACTGGACATCCTCAAGCAGCTGGAAGAGATAATTTTGGGGTAAGAAGGAACTGCAGCATAAATAAGGACCTGGCTCATTAAGTTTAAGACTTACATCTGTGAGATACTCACCTTAAGATTAATCTGCTGTGCTGCATCCCTTGGGTAGGAGTTACAACCACAGACTTTTGGCAAACAGTTTGATTGTGCCTGCATAGCTTGCCGTACTGATCACTGCAGAGTCTAGCATGATGGGCTCTCTTTCATTGTTCAACAGGGACTAGATATTTTTTTTTCTGTTTTTCATATTTATTGTTCACAGATGTGGTTTTGCAAGCTGCTCCAAGGTTAGAAGTCATACTCCTGTCACTGCAGAGCAAATTCTAGGTTAGTAGGCTGTTTGCCAGAAGGCTTCTAACTCTAGCACATATTAACGTCGTTCCTGATGTCAACGGCCAGATAATACCAGCTCCTCACTGGAGGGGGTCACAAATGGAGGCAAACATTCCACAGTCACCATGATCAGTTGTTTCCCAGAAGTCTGAAAGGAAGAGTGAACTCCTTTGCTTGACTTGGTGTTTAATAGAGTCCGAAATGGGAGCGGAGCAGCTGGTGTGAAATGCTTTTAATGGCTTGGTCTGCTAAGGAGTTGTTGAGATCTAATCCTATGTTTGTTTACTCAGGGATTTCAGGTGCAGATAGAGGAAACCAAGAATCCAAAATGCAAGGCTTACTGAATCCAATCCACACTGTAGAGCACAATTTCTTGGTTATCAGAATTGCATAATGATGTGGGATGCGGCTGTCTGGGCGCTCAGAGGCAGAGAAATGCAGGTAACACCAGAGGCAAAGCCAAGCGTTAAGGGCAATCAAGGGAAGTTTTGCCATCTGCTTAACCAGAGCAAGATTCATCTCTGGAAGCCTGCCATGGGATGACCCTGCACCACAGGCATTCACTGTGTCATCAGTTACACACAGTTCAGTACTGTTCTCTCTGTTTTGGTGACTGTCATAGGAATTTTTTTCTTCAAGTGAGACCTTTAATGGAGCCACGCTGCTAACCGATCCCCATTTTTCTTCCCTGTTGGCAACACCCTCACTTTTCCAGGCCTCCCCCTTCTCACTGAGGTTCTGTATTGCATTTTTGGACTGAAAGACTCTTTCTGTGCCCAAAAAGAGGAGAGACAGAGGGTCCATGCCCCCTCATGTGAACAGGATCAGCCTCCTCTGCAGCTTAAAAACCACATAAGCCAGGCAAGGATTCCAGGTGGTGTTTATCCCAAAGCATTTCCAACAATCCCACAAGAATGTTAATTACTGACACCAACAATCTTGTTCTCATTCATATAATGGGAGTGCCTAAAGGTCTTACCTGAGGTTGGTCCTATTGTATTAGGCACTGTACAACCACTCAGTAAAAGCAAGCCCTTTCCTCAGAGAAGGCAGAAGGAAAAATGAACCAAGGAAAGGTACAGTCGATAACTTCAGCCCCTGTACGTCTCTAGTGCTGTTGGAGGTCACTCACAGATGGCTTCTATCTCACTTTCCTAATCTAGATATTTAAAACTGAAAAGATATATGTATACATAATGATTCCAGGAGCCCCTGTTGTGAATACTGACTAAAGTATTTCTATTTGAAATTGCAAAAACTGAAGTCAGAGAAGTCACAGAAACTCGTGGCAGCACTGTAAAGATGAACAAAATTACTTCAGTCGGGTAATTTAAGAGTTCAGAAACAATGGCACATGTCATTAGTAAGATGTAGTGAAGGCTGGGATGATGATCTGCAGAAACAGGGAAGAATACTGACATTAGATTATAGATGTGGACCGGGACAGAGTCCAGCTGTAGTGCGACTGATTTGTCCATAGCTTCTCAGGTATCCCTTTCAAGCCAGAGTTTTAGGTCTGCTTCCTGCAACTGGAATGCTACTCTGAATCTCATCACCCTTGCAAACACTGTGAAGGAATTTCTATAAAATGTAATTGGGTTCTTCATGGAAGAGATACTGGATTTGTTTATTTTTCCTGGAGGAATGGAGGCCAAGAAAGGCAGGGAGCCGT